GTTAGTTAAATAATAATGCATGATCATATTTAATAATATTTATTTGCATGAATTATGTCTCCGGTCAAAGAATGTTCTGCAAGTTTATGGCTAAATAAATGGAATATTTCCTACTCATACACAACAACAAAAYAAAAAAACGTCGACTATAATACCCTTTACAGATTCATTTCATATAGTATATAAAGGTATAAAACGAGCTTTATCTTTATTTTGACCAGCCAGTTTGTATCGCATCAATATCTTAAGACTTAAGTGATCCGATATTGGCGGYTTCTGAAATGAGCAGGTTCATGTGGTAAAAATGACTTTTGCGAAATTTCAAATATATCTAGTTCGCGTAATCAATTCATTCCACCATCCTGATCCATTATATATATTCTTTATAGAACTCCGGCGTTTCCTGCTGGGAGTAAAGTACATAATCTTTATAATAAACTAATGGAGTTTTAGCCAAAGCCGCAAAATCGATTTTTTTTTTTTTTTGTTTTGAATAAGCATTTTATTTCATAAAGAAATAAATATAATAATAATATTCGTAATATTCAGTTCAGAATTTAATGTAATTTAATAAACGGTAATTTCGTAACTATTTTTCTTTGATCCAGTAGCCGAACTCTAGGAGGTCCAGTCCCACGACAGTCGGGTGTAAGCAAACGGAACGAACCCGGATTTTTTATAAGGTCAAGGASAGAACAACAACAGGAAAAAGTTTCTAGCAAACAACAAAACAAAAGAGAATATATATTTGTGTAGATGAACACTGGTGACTTTGTGGATGTAACCTCTTAATACGAGTATATTCTGTATGCTGTTCAGAATATAATTTAAAGCTTTTTTCTATTCAGAGTATAATTATAACGAGTTTTTAAACATATTGGACAACGCCAGCGTACTTTGTTATGATAAATAACGCACCTTGGTGGGTCCGAAATGCGCTCTGGATTGTGAGCGCCATTTTTGCTCCTTAAACACACTTTGATATTTGGTGATCATAGATATGTTCGTACAATCATACGGTCTGAATGTTAGTTGATCCATACTAGTAACATTTTCAGCGTTACTTATCAAAACATGGAGCCTCCAATCATTAGAAATTGCCATCTCCAGTATATATGTAAGTAAATATGTTCCAACACCACTTTTTTCTTCTTATTGACWCCCGGTGCAGGCTAATTGACATTTAGCTGGATGACGTCCGAAATATTTTATCATAGATTCATCTAAAGCTAAATCTTCATGAAAGACATGCCATTGCCATGAGTTCTGTCTGATGCAATCACATTACACAACGTTCTTACTTTGAACATCTTATCGCTTGAATTTTCAATCCGAGAATTATGCATAAAATGAAGATTTCTTTAAATGTTTAAAAACCTATTAAGTGACATACAGTTTGCAACTAGTGGAATGCCAAGGTTTTCATCTAAACTCCAATAAGATCACTCAGTAGTTAATTCTTGATAACCASTTAATATAAGTAAGTTTACTTAAAAACTGTTTCAAACTTGCACTATTAAATTCAAAGTCGTGTCTGTTGTTTTGAGCAGCGGTCAGTATACTTTTCTGTTATTAATTAATAGTATTTATTAATTTTTGATGGATCGTCAAAAATCATCATCTATCATCTTTAGTTTAGAATATGAAAAAGTATTGCTCTTCTCCTGGTTAATAGCCTCATAATTAAAAGTAACATATTGTAATTCTGATTTTATTAAAAAAAAAGCCACTGAAACACATTATATTATACTATAAGGAAATCCTCGATTAACTTACATAAAATACGGTTTATCTCCATATAACAATACCTTATACACATACATACCTAACTCCAGTGGCTAATATTCAAAAGAACATAGATTTGTAATAGATAGACAGCTCCATTGTAGATTGCAGTATGGAGAATTCCGAAATATATTTAAGTTTTATTTTCCGATAAATTGAGATTCTGAGACTTAATAAATCATCTAATCATAACATAATTATAATTATTAATTTTTCGACTACTTCTTTGCTGCGAAGTTCAGTCAAAYATACCGTTAAAAGACTCAGCAGAATTCGATATTTATTGAAAAAGAAACCTCAAATCTAAATGATGAATAAAACGCAAATTCTCAAATTTATAAACAACTGTTTTAGTTTTGTGTAGACTTGAGTAGTTTTAAGCCACCTCGGCCCAGCTAGTGGTCTCATACAATCAAAAAACGTTCGCGACTTCGATTTTTCTATTAGACAATATCAGTCTTTAACCATAAGTGTATATAATATCGTATCTCCATCGACAGATCGCGATTTAACGCTTCACTAAATTTTCATTCGTAATCGAAAAAATATATCCAAAATTTTATTTACCTTGTACATTCGACGAAAATACTGAACAAATTAAAATAATTACAAAAACCGTTGAGCGCCACATATTTCCAATGCAATTTTCAATTTCGAACTATTGAAGGTGGGAATTCACTTTCAGTTAAACATTTTATTTACAATTTGTTCACAACAAAAATGCACTTCCTTTGTTAACCTGATATGAAGACCACGATAAATTTTCCGCACACAATTTTTTCACAGCTTCGACTCGCTACTGAAGCGACCGTTATACTTTTGAAATAGACTTTTGCAAACGTTGTGCGCAAATAGGAAGCAACATTGGCTTTTATACAAAAATCTGCAATATTGTAGAAACCAATTCGCAGCCGTCAAAGGCTAAAAGGCACATATGAAAAGTGACAAGAACAGCAGCAGCAGCAGCAGCAGCGCTGCGACGGCAACAACAGCATTATTAGCAGCGGTAGAGGCAACGCAGCAGTGATAAAAAAACGGCAAAGCCGAGCGAGGCATCAACAGTGTTAAGAATGATGTTAAATAACAAGAATGAGTAACAGCACAAGCAACAGGTGAAATTCCGACGCAACAGTGTGCTGCAGAAACAACAATGCTGCTACGTTAGTGACGTTAACAGCGATGCCGAATGCAAGCGCACTATGCGTATACGTAACGAAGCAATGTAGCGAGCGTTGGCGAACGAACGAACAGCGAATATTTCGCAACTTTGTTTGTGCATGTGTATGTATGTGTTAGTTGAATATGTAAATATGTATGCGAGCATGCCACCAACCAATGAAGCTGCGAATTAGAGCACGAAGTTTCGCTTATAGCGTGGGTCTTATCACTGGTGTTATTACCACCGATGGAGTTCGCTGCCGTTACGAGCATTCATTGTTGTTTGTTAAGCGTGTGCATACTGTTGTAGTATGTGTTCTTGCAGGCAGCGCACATGTAGGCTGACCACTACAAGCTTAGCTAAATGCTTATGAAAACAAAAACGAATGAAATTTTTCTTTAAGGAAATGTTTTGGCGGCGTGAGGAAATATCGAATGTCTCTAATATTAACAGTTTCTTTATTTTTGAGAAATTATAGGAAACACGCTTAAATATATTTTGCGCATAAATCCAATATACATATATTTTAAAATGATATATTCCTATTATTGTTTAGGAACATTAGTACGAATTTGGGGAAAATTTGTATGCCAACTTTTTTGTAGAAGTTAATATTTATTCGCAATTAAATTATGATATTCAATTATATTTATTTTTTGGTGTTCTGTGTTAGATTAAGAATTATACCAAACCGAAAAGCCACCAAATTTTCAACTTCTACATAGGAATCGAATTGCTGCTCAACTAAAGCATGTTCCATCGATGAGAACAAATTATATTCTGGAGGAGCTAAGTTTGGTGAACACGCAAGCGAAGTAGTAGTTCTCAACCAAGTAGTTTGATTGTGCCCGGCACCGATTTTTCTTTGTGTGCAAGTGTGTGGTCGTGCTTTTGCATTACTTTGCCGCGTCTTCTGTCCCATTTTGGTCGTTTTTCGATCAATGCATGATTCAAGTTACTAGCTAGTTGCTGATTTGTTGTCTGTACCGATTAGTATTAACAATTTCACCATAGAGCATTGCCTTCTTACCGAATCGATCTACTTTTACTGTCGGTGTTGATGGCTGCTTCGAATTAACCCATGACTCTCTGCGTTTAGGATTCTTAAAATAAATMGATTTTTCATCGCTTGTGACAATTCGATGCAACTGATTTTTTTTTCGTGTTTTTGAAGCAAAATTTCACAAATGTTTTTTCGGATTTTTTATTTGTCTTTAATTCAAAATGCCTGTTTCAAAGTTSAATAAAACGGGTTTMCAAAGTWGGAACGTKRCATGGRAAAGTCATAGAGACTAATTTAGAAAAAGTTAAAAATCGTTCACTAATATGCATAAATATGAATGAATTCTTGTTATCTTGTATAAATTACTTATTAGCACTTCGTTTTACTAGCAAACTTAATCTTCAATTGAAAACTTTTGGAAAACATTCATCTTTTTATCTCGCCACGTAATGGTGTTTCTGTACGGTGCTGTCATCATTCAAAAATAATTTCTCGTTGACTCTATATAAAGAGTATCTGTATAATATAAGTTAATGACACATTTTTTAACGTCCAAGAATAAGTTCATTAGATTAACACAGAGAAAACGCTTTTCTTAATAGTTTTATYAAATACGTGTAATTTTATTTGAATTTTTAATATTCCCTAGAGACTAGCACATAATACGAGTTAAATACCGGAAGTAAACACATATAAAAATACGAMAGCAAATAATGACGATAGCGTTTCGGATTTCCCCACATTTTGCATACTTTTATGCGCGCAACACTCATGCTAACACTCAGAGCAAAACTTATAGCAAAAATATATTGAAACAAGTGAGAGAGGGCTAAATTCGGGTATAACCGAATATTTTATAGTGGTGTAAAAGGCAAGAATTAAAACYGGGGTAGTACTTGCAGGTACATAAGACTTCTGGGTTATAAGACAAAAATATGCCATGTTATTAGAAAAATAAGCTCTCTCAATTTTAATAAAATAACTCACTTATTGGCCGATAAATGTGGTATAAAATCACCTCTAAATTCGATTTATTGSAGCTAAGTGAAATATTGACCCATTTTAATCCATTTGTAACACGCAGACATGGTACTAACAGGAAATAATTCACATCAAATTTCAATTATGTATCTTAGACGTTGACCAATATTTTCTATCAAAAATCAACTATGAGCACTGAGGAATGCTTATTCCATACAGAGGCTTTTGGTTCGATTTAGACACTTCTTAGTCATAAGTTGGCAAACTTCAAAGTCACTAATCCTGCAATATTTTATCTCGTCATATTAACTGCGTCTTCATTTGTATACCGGAGAATTAAAGAGTCAGGCGGCATTTAAAATTGTGTTATATGCAAAGTAGGCGTTCCTTCAGCCCGATTAGGCCTATTTTTACAATGTGACCTAGGAATAACAAATCAATGCCATGTACCGAATTTGGTGATAAGCCTTTCTGGAGCTTTCGGTTACTGATTTCAGTAGTTTTTAATAGTACCGTTATACTACATAGTATGGAGTGTCTGTGGGGTTATGATCCGATTTCATTCATTTTCAGTATGATGGTAGTGAATTTGGTTATTTTASCTTCAACGATTTGAAAGATATGTACATTAAACCTATTAGGGGGTGAAGCCATGACCACTTTTTTTTTAATTTTAGCCCACTGGTGCTCCCTGCAGCTATCCGCTGTGCTAAATTTAGTTCTAGACCTTAATGTAGTGCTTATGGTTTTATAGGTTTTCGGTTAAGGAGTCTTGTGGGCGTGGCATTTTTCCGATTACACCCATCTTGTTCTTTTTTTTTCCAAGGAACATACATATATACCAAGTATCATTACGATATCTCAGTTTTTGTTCAATTTACAGCACGGCGGACAGACAGACAGTCACTAAGATTTCAACTCGGCGCATCATCGTATGTATACGTGTATAACCCTATATCTAACTCCATTAGTATTAGGTGATACTTAAAACCATTAGGTGAACAAAACCATAATAAACTATAGCAACATGTTGCAACAGTGTAAAAATTACGAAGTTATATAAATCTAACATAAAAAGTTGTAAATGATTACCAGCATTRTTTTTGCGCTCGTAAATCAAGTACGATTTTATACGTCATGCACGTACTGGCCTACGTTGCCAAGTCAAAATGCTGACGTTCATTAGATGCCGTACTGTTGACGATATGGCGGTTTGGTTTACCGTTTAAAAGAATAACTTCGTAATTGTTTGGTGATTACCCACACATATTCAACGTTGTATATATAGATATAGTTTATAATAATATAAAATTTATTATAATATTTATTATAAAATATACGCTTTAGTCGTCTGTAGGTCTGAGTAGAGCTTTCGGTCAAAATTTATTTGGATGGGATTTTCTCAAATCATTTGTGTAGAGAACAACGTTAAAACAATTTTCATGCGATACTAGGGTATAGACTTCAAAACCAYAGGATGACGGCTTTTCTCATCACTTATAACAAGTGAAATTCTAGAAATAAAATCGTATGCTGCTAATTACCTTGCAAAGTAATCTCTTTCACAACCATATACTCAATAAAATGTATTCCTACGAATCGTATCACGTTTTYTCTTCAAACTCAAACGCTAATATATTTTTAAATATAAGATACAACAGTTAGCAAATAAGTCAAGAGAATGAGCAAATTAGTCTGAAGCAATTACCCTAAGGTCGTCCTATGGGCATTATGCGTTTGAGCCAATATCCCAATTACGTATTCATATGCTAATATACACTTTTGTATTGACATGCATATATTTATAAATACACTCATTTGCCCTGTTGGAATTATTGCAGTTAGCTCAACGTAGCTTTTAAGTCATTTATAGTATTTTCAAAAAGTTCTTCTATCATCTCATATAGTATATCAATTTTATTCACGAAGTTTGCATAAAAAYAAATCGGCAATAAAAAAATGGTCTGTAGGAACCAATCGACTAGCTACTGGGTCTTCAAAATACAGAAGCGAGCGCTGGAGAAAAACAATGGAGAGATAGTCATGATCATAAAGCTGCCTGAATTACGTAGCTTTGTAAATTATATCRGATTTTTCAATAGGAACGCTACAGAAGAAGAYCTAAATCAGTCTATCACACACAGWAAAGATCTTTACCTTCATCCAACTATTTTTATATTATGTATTTAAAACACTTCATCATTTCACCTTTCACTTTTTTTTAACGTTCACACATTGTCCAAGTTTACTACGGAAATTCACATTTTTCGGTGGCTACTGGATCTTTCAATCTTTTGCGCAAAACACTGTATGAGGCCTACTTCTTCCCCAATGACTCCGATAACAAACAGAAATATCGTCATTGGGTTGAGTCAAATCCGCGTGTGGTTCACAAAATTGCTTCCCTAAAAATGGATCGTTTGTTGTATGTCGACATCTTCGGATTCGAATCGTATTTCTTTCGAAATGAGGCAGGCAATGCCTTACCATCGCGAACAATTTTTATTTCCAAGAAGMCGGTGCGCTGTCTCATGTTTCACGTCTAAATATGGATACATTATGTGCTAAGTTGGGCCACTCGTCTAGTCAAATGGCTGCTAAGCTCATACTATTTAATGCATCGAGACTATTTTTTCTGGGGGTTTGTTGAATTTAATCAACCAGCAACGCTCGAGGTGCTCGAGGACAGCATCCAATATCCGAAACTCCAACTGAAATGCTGCACTTGGTCATCAAAAACTGACGTAAACGGGTAGAGATACACATGCAAACGGAGCCATGGTGGTCATTTGACCGTCATTTTGTTCAATTCATAAATTTTTTACATAAAAAAACGGAGCCCATTTTGACCAAATTAGAGTGTTTTATTTCATCTATTCATCGTTCTTTTGATCCCCTTTACTTCGCCTAGCAGAGAAAAACAAAAATTTTAGTTTAKTTCTCACCATAGTCCCCTCTTAAAGCACTACACTTGAGCCTCAAAGGCGGCAATAACTTCCTCATCGGACTCAATTTTTTGTCTTGACTTGACAAGTTTGGTAATAAAAAAGAGTCGCACTGAACCAAATCGTGACAATATGGTGAATATGTTCAAACCCTTCAGTCAATTTAACCATCTCGATGGCTGAAATGTGAGTCGCTGCATTTTCTTGCTGTTAAATTACTTTTTTCTGGCTAATTGTTTTTTATTACTGCAAGCAGGCATCGAATTTATTCTCCTTTTAGTCGATGTAGATAACACCTTGTGAATCCCAGTAAATTATGTTATCACCTTTCCGGCCAATAGAACAGTCTTGCCCGTCTTCGGAATGAACATCGAAAATTTAGTCCATTGTTTTGACAACACTTTGGCCTCTGGTGTACATGAGTGGACCCAGGTTTTTTCGACGGTTACTAAACGATGCCGAAACTAGTGGTGTAACGGTTGCGTTTATAGCCACAGGCAGTCCTTTTAAATGCCTTATACCTCAATATTATCGTTTTGTTTCTATATCACGTTTTCCTCCAAATTATCAACTCAGGTCAGGATATCCTAAGAATGATCAGATACTCGTACATCACTTTGAGACTAATTTCGCAAAAGCGAGAGTCTAAAAAATCCAGCCGATTTTGCTGATTTCTTAGCATTCTTCCAAAACTCGCTTGCTACTTTTTGAGCGCAAGATTTTGCTACCAGTTGATTTAGAAACGTATACACGCACCTCTCTACGCACTCCTGAATCAATGCCATTTTCATTTTCTCATTGCACATATATATTTTTAAAGCGATTCTTTTACAAAATAGCAAAATAAATCATCACACCAAAATGTAGCAGTTTAGCCTTCCACACTTGCATACTTAAAATTTACGTGCACGTACATAACCTCAAACTCATATAACTCAAATGAAATACAAAACAAATTTCAATTACGTTGATTGCATTTTTCTGTTTATAGTATTTTTTCTGAGTTTTCTAACCATCTATCGCTTTAATACATACATACATATGTATATACATAAAAATGATTCACAAATATCCTGACAAAGGACAATCGCAAAACTGCATTAACCCGGCGCATCGTGAGTAAATCAATAGAGTGTCTGAAACTTGTATGTGTGTATATCCAATCTATATATATATGTATATATTTATATCTTACCACGACATATGCAAATTCGGTAATAAATTGTGGCGAAAATTGCTGAAACCCTAGAATTACATGTTAATAATAGCGATTATCTCACAGAACTATACGCTAATGATTACCGTTATGTTTATTTTATTTATAGTCGTACAAATATACTATATATATTTATACATGTAGATATGTTAATAAAAAAGTACTTAAACCTAGATAAATTTATTCGGTATTGAAAATAGGCGTGTAAAACGATATATGTGCAAACACCATAACTTAATAAATATAAATAAATATGCTAGGATGTAAATATTAATGGTGTTGTGTAAAATCAGGCAAATAATTATTTTCAATTCTTGTTTATCTTGCCTAATGTATAGGAACATTAGAGCAGGTCGATTTTTTTTTCTTTAAAATCGCTTATGCGGGAAATGTTCTGCGAATCATTCACTTTGCCTAAGAGAATGTGGGTCTAAAAACGGTGTCGATTTTCTTCCTTCGATTTTTTAGATGTTGTTTAATTCGTCRAAATTCTAAAAACTTCACCGGCAGTTTTTGAGTTATCCGAATGAAATTTTATGCATTGTACATTTTGACATTCCATTGATTGGAATTTATCGGAATCGACCAGATCGCTCTAAACCGGTTTTAGCCACACATWATCTTAGACAAAGTAGTTCAAAATGATCCGCTGAACGTTCCCCGATGGTGAGATTTTTCCGTTTTCTTGGCTCCCTATAATCAACTCCTCTAATGCACATAATATTTATTACATAATTRGTATACCTAATATTTGCATGAAAAAAATAAATGAACTTTTGAYTTAGGAGTGGTAAGTCCCCTTTAAATATGTATATAATTCTCGCAAACTACTTTTTAAGAGTTAGGTTGGCATCAGAGATATAAATACTAAGAGAAGAAAAATAATTCTTAAGAAGCTTTCGCTTATCTAATTTCAGTACAACTACTTAAAGTTCAGCCATTTGAAATGTTYAACTGTATTCCAAACGTTTCGGAACTCCAAGTGGACCATGGATTCATCAAGATACATGCACATTCGAGATCATCCTGTAAATGTAGCTCTAAAGAATCTGCAATTTTTCTCCAGAATAGAGTCAACGAATTTACAYACAAAAGCAACAACGAAGTCGTCCTACGAATTTAACAGTGTAATGTCTTTTTAAACATGTGGTTTTTAAAARGAAATAAAACGCATAGAATATAATGGTTTATATTGGTTTACGAGTTTCAAAATATCGACTTTTTTATTGTCTTGTTAAATTCTACAATACTCCTAGAATATTTTCCTAAATTTTCAAGTTAATCGGAATAATAGTTTCGAAGAGACGGCCTTGAGAACACGTGCGCTCGGGGCTAGCTAGGAGATTTCTCAAGAACTACTCCAACGATTTTCATGAAATTTTACACAGTTCCTTGAGATACAATTCTCAAACACATTTACGAAGGATTTTTTTCTCGATTAAGTCTAAGTTAAGTTTTTAAGTAAAACACATATTTTTTTTCAMTTTAGATGATTCTGTAAGGAGTTATCTTGCCAACGCGGGCGCATATTTTTGYAAGGGGCCACCGGAAATGGCGAAGTTTAAWATATTTTTTCCCAWTGCCCAATGTCCTCTTTCAAGGCGTCAGTCGTCTCGGGCTTACCTGTWTAGACAAGCGACTTCACATAACCCYATTGGAAATATAATAAATGATACAGCGTTGTTAATCGTMCGATCTTGGAGRCCATGCCACAGAGTTTCCGTCAGTYTGAATCAAATTGAATGTCTCSTTGRCTGTATGGCATGTAGCGCCATMTTGTTGGAAYCAAAGGTCGTARACAATATCAATTCAGGTATGAAAAAGTCATTAATAATGGCTCTGTAGCGTTCTTCATTCAGATTATGTATAGATCTTACCGCTTTATTTTTGAAGAAATATGGAYCAATGAATYCTTCTGCCCATAGAGCATACCAAAAACATACTTTTTGAGGATGAAACGACATTTCAACAATAGCTTATGGATTATATTATTAACTTCATCGCTGAAAAAAGTTTGTTATGAAAATCGGCATCGATGTCCATATCCTTTTGGACCCACTCACCGAACATGTGACACGCTTGATGGTGGTTCAGCATCAATTCTTACACCAGTTTGACTKTGTAACCGCACAAACAAAGATCCGTCCGCAAAATATGCCTTWAAGTTGGGCACTGCTCCAACTGTTGTGCGCGTTTTCAGGTCTTTTGTGACTGTCTYATTGAGAACCAAACGTCTAAAAAACAACCTTACAAGCGAGTAGATGCTACAACTGAGGGTTATGCTATTTAAATTTGATTAAGTCATTCAATGAGAWTTATACCAGTTGTTGGTTCGATTCACCTTTTATTAATCTAGTATAAGTTAAGGTTTTAATGCGAGAACAACTAAACAAAATATWCTTTTAATGTTTATTAAATTTCATATCAATTCACTCGATCAATGCCTTTCTAAAAA